TAAACTTTGATTTGAAAAAGAAATTCCAAGACAGGGAATTTCCTGATCTTTTCCAATTGAGCGTAAACGTGATTAGGTATGAACGATTAATAAGAGAAGAAGAGCAAATGAATAATTCTAGCAAGGAGACTTATTATAGAGACCCAAATTTTGATGTTCATACCATTGATGACGAGTATTACAATCAAATCGAAATGTGTTTGGCCGAATTAATCAAAGGAGACGCGTATACTTGTCCTATAATGGCTAAGTTTAGATCGTCGGGCAAGGATGAGCTTGTAAAAGATGAAAACAAAAAGGTTAGAACGTTCTCGTTCGATGTAATCAAAGCTGACCTTATATTTGATAAACTATATTAGGATAAGCAGATAAAGATGAGCGATAAACATAAGATGCCAAGCCCTGAACAAATCAAGGGTAAAAAATGTTGTAAGTGGCATAATGCATGGTCACATTTGACTAACAACTGTTTGATTTTTTGCCATGTGTTGCAGGATGTCATTGAATCAGGACGAATTACGTTCGAGGATAAGACGAAGATGGTAGTGGATGAAAACCCTTTTCCACAGCCACTTGGGGTGAACATGATGACGACTGGTTTAAAAAACAAGTTGTCAAAATTCAAATTGGTTATAGACGATGGAGAGGAGGACCCTGGGCCACACCCCAGTGTCTTTGAACGTATCAAAGGGAAGGAGCCTAAAAAAAATGAAGACGTCCTGTGTGCAAGATGTAAAGGAGAAGTAAGTACAAATACAGAGAAACCAGGGATATGGCAGCACCACCATCGCCCTAGTTTTTTCTCAAATGCTCAGCCTGTTAGAGGGCGAGGTACATCATTCTATAGGAGACCGCCTTTTGAGAGGCAGTTCAGGTCAATAAATAATGAGAGAACATTCAGGCCGCAACCTCGCCAACTAAATGTATGACATTCGTTCCAGTATAATGCAGGAAGGGTGATACCTTTCAATGAGATGACTAGAACCCAACAAAGGCGTTTTCAACGGAATTATGGACGAATGA